ACTTAGGATGGTTCAGTTTCCATATTGCCTTTGGACTTTTTTCGTGAGACCTTATAAAGGAAAACAGATAGCATTTAAAAAGCTTTAGTGCATTGATTCTGTATTGGAAAAAATCATGCTCCGACACAGAACCTCATATACTTCCATTCAAGACAGTCAGGATATTAACAGAGCCATCAGAAGCATATAGAAACAAATATATTCAAAAACCTATTGTGATTTTTCTCAGTGACACTCTCATCAGTTAACGTCTGTAAACAAATCGTCATCTCCAAATTTGAGAGAAGCTTACAAGGCAAAAACTTAGTGCCTCTAGTTAAAGATTTGTATACTGAGATAATTGGCAGCCGGTGAAGAGGACGAAGAGGACTCAGTGGTGTAACATAGAGCTATTGGTGGCTTGATGGTGTGACAGATGGGGAAAGCTTCTTTAAATTATGGAGCTTTTACATTGATGTTTTCAGGAAATGTCAACATCCTGATTATATTTTCATTCATGTTGTCTCTATTTCCCATTCATTGCTTTTGTTTGTCATAATCACTTGTTGCCTCTTGCTTGTAACTGTACCATCTACTGTCATTTGTATATAATGCAGCACACCTGGTTCCTGACTGACTACCTAAACATCACCACAGTACAAAATGCAGTGCTAGTATTTACTAAATATTACAAATTAGATATGGAAATTACTGCCATTACAATTATGACTAGCTCATGAAGAAGTAAGTTAGTAAAAAAGCATGTGAATACCGTGCAGTAGCTGCAAATGTTTATACAAGTTCAATTAAGTTTCAAATTAAGAGTTATTCCGTTTTCCCAGGCCAGCTCTGAAACAATCCCTCTGTAAAATCTGTGGAACAGCCTTGATCAAGAATAGGAAAATACACTACATTAAAAATGTTCTTTCTAACAGATGCATAAATGTGTTCTGTTCTGTTAACTTTTGCAGTTTTGTTTCTCTACTTTTCCAGGAAACAGCTCTTGGACTCTACAACAAGGATTTCCTGTTTAAACCTAATAATTTGTCAGACAGATAGACCGCTAAAGTTTCTCTGTAGCTTCTCAGCTGAGTGCAGAGCTGGCACACCTAGACCTTGTACCTTCTTCCCTGCAGCCCTGGCCTAGGAAATTTTTATGGTGAGGCAGGGGAGAGGCCAAAATTTCTTTTCACAGCTGTCCTATAGGCCTTTGACAGCCGTAAGCCAACTGGCACAAATTATAGTAGGTCCCGGCCTTTCTGCAGTCGGACTTTCAGGCAGACTTTGGAAGCCAAATCCGGGTGCTCATTCCCAGCCTCTTCTTTCTCCTCTAATGGAGGGGAAGTGGGACACCCTTTCTGGTACTCAGATTAGCACTCTCATCCCTTGCTGCTCACAACTGCCCCAGCCTGATAGGAAAGTAGGTAATGAAACACCCAGAATTGTGCTCCCTTCTCCTCTCTTCTTTGCAGTTTTGCTAGGTAGCTGCAATGGAAAAGGAACAGCAATTTCTGAAGCAGCTCCCCTCACATCACAGCTCTGCCTGGGGCTGTCTGAGAAGCAGTGTCCTTTCCCTCTTCTATCTCAGCACATGGGTCAAAGAACACATTTTCAGTTCACAGGCAAATACAAACTTCTGTGTTTATACAGTCACCTTTGAGAGGCATAGTGAAAAATTTCAAGGGCCGTGAGCTGTGCCTAGACCACAGATAGAAATGTGTTTTTTTTTGTCTTTTTTCCTGCCGGGGAGATTTTGACATTGTTGGGAGTTTTGGGAGCAGAGCCTATCCCTGTCTATGACTCACAGATCTGATTTGCCTCCAGAACAGCAAGGCAGAGGCCAAAGACCCATCGTTGGGATCTGTGGACCAGCCCGCTGCGAGGAGGGAAAATTTTCAGGTAACAGAAATGTTTTCTTGCTCTTATGCTACATTTAAATGTAAATATAGGATTGCTATTAAATCGTAAAAATGAATTTAAAGCATACTTCCATAAGAAAAATGCTAAATGTAATGCTAAATATTTATGGTTCTATGAACTAGAATTAAATCCATGGGTGCACCAGCTGTTTATTGCTTTTTAAGTGTTTTATGGTATATCAATATTAGAAATATATTCTATTTATACTGTATCCAGAAAACAAGCAAACAAACAAAAACAGGATGGAAGCTCTGTATAAGGATTATAGGCCTCAAAAGCTTATTGTTATAATATCAAAAAAAGACAGACAAGCCAATATAGGTGCTCAGACTGGAGACAGCTCCATGTAATAACAGCTAGCATGTGTTTAGAAGTATTTGTTTACCTCTGCTTCTTTATGTCAAAATCAATTGTAATTAAACAGGAATGCAACCTCGTAAGTAGTACTTTATCTGATTGTTCTCATCAGAAGTGTCATATAGCCCTAGTGTTTAGGACATGTCAAAGAAGCCTGATATTTTCCTCCTTTAATAAATACCTACTTATAGTCTTTTCATTTTTTTAGTAAAGGCAATTGTCTGCCTCGTATCATAAATAAGACACTGTTTCGTATCAGTTCTGGGAGGTTTTCTGATCATATTACAAGAATTACTCACTATAGTTCTGAAAGAGGGAGTTATTTATATTCTCTTTTGGACATTAGATATAGTTTATTGTCCATCTGTTTATACATATGCACACAAAATACAGGCCTTTCATCTCTATTCTAAGATACTAAAATATATGAGACTTATGTTATTTTATTGGTTTGAAGCAAATACTGTTTTATCACATAATGTGTTTGTGGTTTAGACTAGGGATATATATACTGCAAATAATTTTGTAACTTGTTTCATTATTGAATGGAAGTATTTTCAATAATGAATATGAATTCACAAAATCAAGGGTCAAATGAGTCTCCTAGGGAAGTCAGTGTGAAGTCCACGCAGGCGTTCAAAGGCAGATCTTTTTCTTTGTAATGTGAGACAAGGGACAGAAAAAACATGAATTACTGTTCACTGTGTAATACAGTGAAGAACAGAGCGAGGGTGGAGAGTATCAGGAGTCTAGAACTGTATGCTTCAAAAAGAAGAGAATATACATTTTGGGCTTGGTCCTGCAGTGTAATTTTCGTTTGGAGCTGTTAGTTACTGAGCCATTGCGGTGAGCTATCTCTGCCAATTACTGATTATTGTTTAGTTTCCATATCTATAGAAAAGAAGTGAACAAAAAAAAAAAAGTCTATTAGATTGAGGTGTTAATGCAGTAGCAAAAACTACTGATGAAAGAGAAGAAAAAGGAGTAAATGAGTAAGTAAGATATATGAAAGTAAGATATATGAAGTTAAGTAAGACATATGAAAGAACCACTAGGTTCGCCTGGGACAATAAAACATAACAAAGGCTTTTGACGTTTTAAAATATTCAGTGTTATTTATTTAATCATAGTTTTATTTAGCCTTCATCCATGAACACATAGTAGTACAAAACTACTTTTTTAATATGTATTCTAAGTAAAAATTTCTCTGGAAAGAATGCACTTGAACAATCACTTACCAGGTCAGACCTTATAAATTATGATGGACCAAACTTTGTCTTCTTTGCTCAAGTGCAAAGAAGTTTAGGGGGGGATTATGATTATGTTTTTGATATTCAAAATCTGATTTCACCTATATATGAGCTTGAACATTCCTTATTAAATTACATACAGTACTTTGGTACAGACTACAGTGATTTTCATATTATAAACTTAGGTTATGAAATATTTCTTGAAAGTGTTTATATGCTGAGGTTTCATGTACATGGGTTGTTTACTTTTAATCTGCTTTTCAGCTTTTTGTGTGTGTGTGGATCCAATTAAAGTGAAAAATATTGTACTTATGAAGCCAGTTATGCTATACTGAGTCACTGTTAAAAAGAAAAACAAAAATCATGTATTTCTTCTTTGTTATCATTATGCAAATGTCTTATAATTAATGACTCAAACTATGATATCTCAGCTTTAGCCATTGAAAGGAGCCTGCTATCTAAAATATTAATGAATTAACTTTATAGTGCGCTATAGTTAGGGTGAAATCAGTATCTTTATTTAGCTTTCTTCAAAATATTTATGAGGAAAGGGTAGGAAATAAAAATAAAAGGTTTTTGTTTTTGTTTTTGTTTTGTTTTTTTACTTTAAGCTTGCCAGAGAAGGCAAATGTTAAATATAACTTCTCTGGTAAAGTAGAATAAAATATATAAGGTATGTCATATGTTGCACTAAAATATGTACCTTACTTTGCAATTTATATGTTGCCAACATAAGTTTATTTCTATACTATCTTAAATTTCTCTTCAGTATAAATTTTCTGTATAGGTGGCTATTGTTTCCAGATAGCTTGTTTCCTTTTCTTTCTGTGGCTGATAATTTAGCAGTTCTATTTTAGTGTATGTTCTCGCTGAAGTGCATAAAGCACTTCTGACTGTTTACCCTTAAAGCTCCAGAGAGTTAGGAAAACCTCCAGGCTGCTTCTGTTTACTGTACACTTTTGGACTGTCAAGGGTTTATTTTCAACAGGAGGGAGAGAAGTGTAGAGATAAAGACCAATGGTGCGTATCACTCTACCAGCACATCTTGATGTACAGCACTGTGTATGAGCTATTTATATATTTATATATGTACGCACACGCGCACATATATATTTACCTTTTAATTGATTCTATTTTCTCATAAATACTAATTCTGCTGTTGGTGGTCATAGTTCACTTCGTGTTTATAGTTTCTGCTGCTACTACCAAAGCTTCTGTTTGATTTTCTTCACTGTCTGCTAGCTGTAGCACTCAAAATTACAGGCTAATGGTGAGACGAGCAGTTTATAATATATGATAATCAGTACTTGAAATCTGTTTCCTATGATATGACATAAAAGAGTGAAATAAAAAAATTCAGATTTTCAAAACTAGAGTGCCAAATCTCATGCAATGCAGGTGTTTTCACTTCAAGGTCATCTTGTATTTGTTTCCTCACAAAACTATCTTCTCCTTTTTTGGCTTCATATTTAATTCAGTCACTTGTAGGATGCCCAAGGAGCAGAAATGGAAAGTTAGTCAATACTGTGAGTATGAATGCAAGTATAAAAACTGCTTTAGCAAATGCAGGAAATGAGAAGGGGAAGGGAGATATGGCATGCAATATATATAATATATGATGTATATCTCTTTTACTTAAAGGGATTGCCAGCAAACTTTGTGTTTTTATTGGCAGTAATGAATAATTTAAACATTACATACACACCCGGTATATGTGTATGCACATGCATAAAAGCGGAGAATTTCAAATTTTAAAACATGATTTTGTTACAAAATTAACCTAATTGGTTTTGAAAATCTCAAAGCATAGTTTTTGGCACAGTACTGAGTACCCAGTGAAATCTCTAGTTAACATTCTACTTAGTATTTTCAGCAGCTGAGAACTTTTTGATCTTTTCCTTTCATCTAAAGTTTGGCCATTTTGATCTCAGTTCTGGGAATATTTATAAGTACATATTTAATGTAGTTTGAAAATAATATATAAATACAGGAATATTTATTTAATGCATTTTTAGATAATCTGACACAGAAGTAGTACTTGAAAGGTAGGAAGAACTTCCCTTTTTCAGATTTTCTTTTAGTAGTTTAAGGGAAATAGGCTGTCGTGTACTGAAATCTTCTAGAAGATGTTCTACTGATGCTTTCCCAGTACACTCTGAGCCCTTGACACATTAAATATGGTTAGAAAGTTTACAGGAAGTACCACTTTTTTTCTGTGAGAAGTATAGGAGCAAAAAGGCTTTGGTGGAATAATTGAAGTGGAGAAAGCAGCAGAGAGAAGTCTTGGTCCACTGATTCTGCAGTTGAGAGTGTTTTATGGAAGCTAACAAATGCAGGATTTTACAGAGCTGTTACTTTTGCCTTTTGTTTAAAAAGAAGGGGCCAAAATTATATGCATAAATTGATATGGAAGGATTGCTAAGTTTGCAAAATTAAACAGTTAGTTGGGAAACAGATTAATTGTTTAGGGAATTGAAGTACCAGAAAACTTTTGCTCTGCAATATCATGCATTCTCCGTGTAATGTAACAGGAAAACAATTTTAGAAATGTGTTAGAGAAAATTCTAAACAAGACAACTATTATTTCTTGTTACTATACAGGTCCACTTTCAAAGCTAGATGCTGAGGTTATTACAAATTCACTCTGTAGGATTAAGAGGAAGAGAAAAAGAGTGAAATTAATAATAAGCACTGGTAAAATCTGAGGTTCTAGAGTTCCCATTGAAAGGGCTTGGTTGTGGGTTGGGTTTTGATTTTTTTTTGTTTGTTTATTTATTCATTTTATTATCATGTTCATTTATTTTAGTTTTTTTTTTTTTCTGTATAATAAAAATTAATCAAAGCCAGGCTAGTATTAACTGTTGCCCATCCCGTGCTAAAACTGTGAACCTTCCTCTCCAATGTTCTTGTCCTCTTTCCTTTTTAAAACTGTAAAATCTATTCCTTAAACTCTTCCGCATTCTGCCACTGTGTTATCCTCTCAGAATTTGGGATATCTTTTACTCCTTACTTTTTACTATGATTACTCCATTTGATGCTGTACAATAAAAACAGCACACAGCTTATTTTTATTGGAGGTCTTCTACAAATTTCACCTTTACTTAATTTATCTTTCTGTTACATTCTGAAAAATCACTCTATGTTCTCCTCTTCCTGTAGCAGAGTACCTGATTCTGTCCTGTTTTCTTTCTTTTTTTCCTTATCTTATAACAATCTTAGATTTTCAACTCTTCAAAGCAGGGAGCATATATAGTGAATAACACTTCTTCACAGGACTGTGTGAATAATCATTAACAAATATCAGATCTAAGTAAATGTTCTCGTCCTGACTTAACCTGTCATTGTGACATAACACAATTTTGGTTAAATTTAACTCACATTTTATTCATATGACTTTTTAGAAATGTGAATAGTCTAAACTATTTACACTATTTAATTCTGATAGATGAACATTACTGTTTCTTCTGTGTCAGGTTTCTATAACTTAACTTTATAGAAAGTTAAGTTTTAAACTTAACTTTAAAATCTTGTGTTTTTAATAGATGCTAAAAGATTTCTGTTTGTGTATCATTCATCCTTACATATAAATTGATATCCATACTTTTTTGACCAGGTGAAATTCTATGCATTTTAAACAAACTAAATTCCTCAAATAGAATGAAGATTTAAATCCCATCTTTCCATTTGTGTGTTGAAATACTTAATTTTTAAAGATCAGCAGGTAGGTAACCCAAACCTAGAGATGATAAAAGGGTTTATTCTATCTATATTGACTGGACAGCACTAAGAAGATAAAGGAGAAAGAGAAGGTAACTTGCATCAGATTTGAGTATTTCTAAAACACAGATTGATGGGATCCAGCTTCCTGATATCAAGTTAGAATCATGTATACAACTATAAAACAAGGAATAGCAGTCCAAATATATTGTATGAGTGTAAAATGGCAGATAAACTAAGGTTTTCCAAACAGAATTTTCTTTATGTCTTTGAACTGAATTACAGGACAGGAATTATTGAAATTTATATGCTAAAAATGTAGTGAATAAAAAAAATCTGATCTAACTATATCCTTTGAAAGAAATAAGAGTAAGAAATGCTATCTATTATCAGTTCAAATAGTATGTTACGGTTTGTCATTCTTCCAAATTGTGTGTATTGAGCAAATCCATTTTCACTTACTTGCACCAAAACAAAAAAGGGGAAAACTGATTACATGATCCATACTCATGTCTAATAAAATTGCAATATGCACTTTTTGACAAGCTTATATTTAATGCAT